CAGAAAGTAATAGCTAAAAAAAATTGTAAGTACATCAGAAGCAGGAAGCCTGCTAAACAATCAGTGGGGTCACTGGATGAACAAGATGCTAAAGGAGCACTCAAGGATGATAAGGCCATTGCGAAGAAACTAAATGAATTTGTTGCATCAGTCTTCACAGTTGAGGATGAGAAGGAGATTCCCAAACCTGAGCCATTCTTTTTCGGTGACAAATCTGAGGAACTGTCCCAGATTGATGTGTCATTAGAGGAGGTTTTAGAACAAATTGATAAACTAAACAGTAATAGGTTACCAGGACCAGATGGTATTCACCCAAGAGTTCTGAAGGAACTCAAATGTGAAATTGCAGGACTACTAACTATACTCTGTAAACTATCATTTAAATCAGCTTCTGTACCAAATTACTGAAGGATAGCTAATGTGATGCCAATTTTTAAAAAGGGCTCCAGAGGTGACCCAGCAATTACAGTCCAGTAAGCCTCAGTAAGTACTGAGCAAACTGGTTGAAACTATAGTAAAGAACAAAAGTGTCAGACACATAGATGAACATAATTTGTTGGGGAGGAGTCAACATGGTTTTTGTAAAGGGAAATCATGCCTCACCAATCTACTAGAATTCTTTGGGAGGGTCAACAAGCATGTGGACAAGGGGGATCCAGTGGATATAGTGTATTTATATAGTGTATTTTCAGAAAGTCTTTGACAAGATCCCTCACCAAAGGCTCTTAAGCAAAGTAAGCTGTCATGGGATAAGAGGGAAGGGCCTCTCATGGATTGGTAACTGGTTAAAAGATAGGAAACAAAGGGTAGGAATAAATGGTCAGTTTTCAGAATGGAGAGAGATAAATAGTGGTGTCTCCCAGGGGTCTTTACTGGGACCAGTCCTATTCAACATATTCATAAATGATTTGGAAAAAGGGGTAAGTAGTGAGATGGCAAAATTTGCAGATGATACAAAACTACTCAAGATAGTGCAGTCCCAGGCAGACTGCAAAGAACTACAAAAGGATCTCTTAAAACTGAGTGACTGAGCAACAAAATGGCAGATTAAATTCAATGTTGATAAATGCAAAATAATGCACATTGGAAAACATAAATCCCAACTATACATATAAAATGATGGGGTCTAAATTAGCTGTTACCACTCAATGTGCAGCGGCAGTCAGAAAAGCAAACAGAATGTTGGGAATCCTTAAGAAAGGGATAGATATTCAGACAGAAATATCATATTGCCTCTATATAAATCCATGGTATGCCCACATCTTGAATACTGCATGCAGATGTGGTCGCCCGATCTCTAAAAAAGATATTCTGGAATTGGAAAAGGTTCAGAAAAGGGAAACAAAAATTATTATGGAAGAGGTTCCGTATGAGGAGAGGTTAATAAGATTGGGACTTTTCAGCTTGGAAAAGAGACGACTAAGGGAGGAGATGAGAGAGGTCTATAAAATCATGACTGGCATGGAGAAAATAAATAAAGAAATGTTATTTACTCCTTCTCATGACACAAGAACTAGGGGTCACCAAATGAAATTAATAGGCAGCAGGCTTAAAACAAACAAAAGGAAGTATTTTTTCACACAATGCACAGTCAATCTGTGTAACTCCTTACCAGAGGATGTTGTGAAGGCCAAGACCAGGGGTTGGCAACCTCTGGCACGCGGCTCGCCAGGGTAAGCACCCTGGCGAGCCGGGGTGGTTTGTTTACCTACCGCGCCCGCAGGTTTGGCCAATCGTGGCTCCCACTGGCCGCGGTTCGCCGCGCCAGGCCAATGGGGACTGCGGGAAGCAGCACGGGACAAGGGATGTGCTGGCACTGTCCACTGTCAAAAGACAGGATACTGGGCTAGATGAACCTTTGGTCTGACCCAGTATGGCCCCATTCTTATGTTCTTATGTTCTATATTGTATTATAGGTATTCACTCACATCTTGAGAGGAATATTTCCTTTGAGTGGTTGTGGTACACTGAATGCTGCTATTGACTAGCTACTTTCAATAGCCCAACTGCAGGTGTAAATCCCTCTAGAAAAGTCTAAAGTGTCAGCTTGGAAATTCCCCATTTTCTAATCACCATTTCAACATTATTATCTTTTGCCAATACAAGCTAAAAGCAATCCTTTGTTTTTAGCAATAATCCTCTAATTGCTGAATTGTTATAACTGTATTTTTGCTATAGAGAGAGCTTTGTTATTTCTAATATTTTTTGCTAGTTTATTAAAGCATTCCTTTACTCTTGTAATGCTCAATGCTTTTTACTCCTTAATTCCCCCACACCCCAATAACTTCACATTCTTAATTCAAGAATGTAGTTAGACTACTTCTCTGAAGCTTTGAAAAGCGCTGTGGAATGCCTGATGGATATTTCAGCTGCCAAGAGTTGATATACAAATTAAAAAAAACACTTACAGTTATATAATGGACACAAAGTCCGTCATTTATTTCAGTGCACACCGCCATGCTTAAAGACTTTTCATGGTATTGGTGTTGTGCTCTGTTGAAGTGGTAATTTAGTAATTCACGGAGAGGGCACATTCATTATTCTGTAATAGAATGAAGATACTGTAGCTTGTTTCTCTTGCTTAATCATTAAAAGTGAATAGAGATACAAGGGTGCAGCGTAGTTTGTCCTGTTCTTGTTTCTGTTAAATCGTAAGTGAAGGAATCATTAAATAAATGATACAGGAGTGTCCCCGGAGATACAGGAATGAATTGGTTAGTGTTGGTGTCCAAAGCCTTCCAATGGATGGTCCTTCCTGTAGACCCAGTACAGACCAGCTCCTGTAATGTGCAAAGTGGTTAGGGGGCCACAAATCAAGGTGAGGTACACTTGTCTATCAATTAGCCCCTTTATCTGCCCCCTCTCTGCAGAGGTCCTGTTCCAGTCTGTTTCCTGCCCCCGAAGAAGAATCAGGCCTATTTGCTCCATTTTTGTGGCTGCCTGTTATGCTCTTCCCTGCAGTTTTTCTGCAGAAATTAAGTGCACAGTTTGCAGAAACCGCTGATGCCCTAGTGGTCTGACTCATGCTACAAAGAGTGCGTCTTCTAATGGAACACCCCTAATGGACCTGTGACATCTCCCTGCTCCTCTCTCTCTCTGGTAAGTCCGCCGAAAAGGGCAAACAACTTAATTCTATGCTGTATCTATTGCTACACATTTTAATAACACTGGAGAGTGGGCGCTGAGGGCATGTCCTGGATTAATAATACCCTTCTGTGACATATTTAAATGTCCTTTATTTTGGACGGGGTGAGGGGTAACTTTTCAGGGGGATGGGAGGGGAGCTGAACTTTGTTACTTCTAGATCCTGCTACCTTAGCTGAGTACAATGAAGGCTGAAAATAGAAGAGAAAGGAAATCAGAAGAATGCTACTAAAGAACCTCGAGCCCAACATTGGTATGGATTCTTATTGTTTTAGTTCATCCAATTAACAGAAGTGTAACCCACACACCTCCTAAGTGTGGTGCTCTATCCCATGTAGTGGCACCGAGAGCACCTAGAGATGAATGAGTCTACTACAGCCTTAGCTAATAGGCATGTGGCTTTTAGCTCATGCAGTAGAGGCTCATGCATTTAGCTCCAGAAGTCCCAGGTTCGATCCCGACTGCCAACCATCGGGGTCTGTTGGTGTTACAGGAGCACCATAATATATTCTGTTAAATTTCAGAATGAGAAATCAGCAAAATAGATTTGTTCTGAAGCAGGCACTTCTAAACCAGAGATTGGCAACCTTTGGCACACGGCTCGCCAGGGTAAGCCCCCTGGCGGGCCGGGCTGGTTTGTTTACCTGCCGCATCCGCAGTTCAGCCAATCGTGGCTCCCACTGGCCGCAGTTTGCCGCTCCAGGCCAATGGGGGTGGCAGGAAGCGGCGGCCAGCACATCCCTTGCCCCGCGCTGCTTTCCTGGGACGGCGAACTATGGCCAGTGGGAGCCGTGATCGGCCAAACCTGCAGACGCAACAGGTAAACAAACCGGCCCGGCCTGCCTGGGTGCTTATCCTGGTGAGCTGCGTGCCAAAAGTTGCCGATCCCTGTTCTAAACAGTGGGGTTGTTGGAGAGCCATGGCTTCAAACTGGGATGGTGTGTTGCTTTCATGGCATGTCTCTTTGTATGTTGATGCTATCACAAATGCCCAGATGTCTTGCTTCCCAAAGTAACACTTCTGAGAATGGCATCACATCATTAGACAGTGAGTTACAATTGCTGTTATCTTGTGCTCACCAATCTGTTTGGTGTATTCTCCTGTTGTCTCTCATTTTATTCTCAGATTGTTAGCTCCTTGGGGCAGGGACCTTCTTTTTGTTGTGTGTTTATGCAATATCCTAACACAATTTGGATTGGCTCTATAGATTACACTGTAATACAAATAAATAAAAATAATGATTGGCTGGTGATAATCTTATTACCAGAATAACACTGATCCTGTTAGATCGGAGACAAATGGAAATTGAAAGAGCCCAGGATTAAATACATTGAGAAACTATTTTCTCTTGTATGTGACTGACTGAGAAGAAGAAAGAGGTAGGAATGAGGACTTGGAGCAAATACAGAAATGGTAGGATTATATAAATCAGGTACAGGATTGCATTAGCATATGTTATAAAACTGCCCATGGGTTGCCCTACACTCCCTTACACTACTCATAAGAAAAAAACAACATGTTATGGGCGGGTTTCTTTGTATTACAACAGAGGTTTAGTGAGCCTTTTCTGCTGTTCCATTCCAGGAGGACTCCAGCCAACCTGTTCAGTCCAAGTCTTTCTGCAAAGAAGAAGAAAAAAGGGTCAAGATAACAAAGAAATCAGTCATTGACTCAAAATCTCATTGTATTTGTTATAGCTTTCTTCTTCACTGGCTCTCTTCCTTTGTAATTCTAGTAAACATTGCCCTTTTCAAAATATTCCTTTGTTTGCCTTTTCTGCTAGGGAAGGGAAGCTTTAACTAAAAGAAGTGCTGTTTTAAAGAAATCTTTTCCATATCTCTCTTTATCTCAACACTGAATTGAATGCCTCTTGTCAAGCTCATTTTGATTCAGCCTACTTTCCTACGGGGTGTAACTACCCCTTTTGCAAGCTTTTATGCAAGGTACATAAAAATAAACACCTGACAGACTTTTTCATGATGTGCACTGTAAGACAGATCCAATAGTATGTGAACACCTGAACCTCATTTTGAAGATCTCAAAGGTCATTTAAATGAAAGAATGATTGAGGTATTTTTATGAGTCTGATTATATCTCTCTTGTGTATGTTTTTGAGGACTGAAAAAGGGGGTCATAAAATACTGCTTCAGACAATAATTCACTATCACTTGTAGCAATGTCATCACAGCATTTGTAGTGATTGGCTGACTGATGAAAAAAGATGATAGTCGCAGCCATTTGAAGCAAGATTTATTTATTTAAAAAAAAGTTTATGAGCTGTGTGGTTAGTCATGAAAGAATTACCCACCAAAATTATCCCTAAGCCAAAGAAAGTCCTCTCTAACTACATATTTAGATCTGCATCACAGTTGATTCTTGATATTGTCATGAAAGAGCCAAACAAATCTTTCTAAGGTTCAAAACACAATAAGTAAATGTCCCAGTGTTGCCAACTCTCACGGTTTTATTGCCAGTGTTGACATATTTTGGTGTTGTCCTTAAAGACCAAGCATCTGGAATCCTGTAATTAGGAGAGAATCTCAAGTTTCATTTTTTCCAAAAAATACATTTCTAGCCCTCGTGGTTGCAGGGAAAAGCTTGAATATATGACCAAAGTGCACCCTCAATGCTCAAAAAGAAAAGGCTAATAAAAAGAATCACAAATACATTATTAAAAGTAAAAATGAAAAAAAACCTCATGCTTTCTAAACTAATCTCATTATTTTGGGGGGGCTGACATAGTTTTGAACATATGAGATTGGCAACATTGCTCACCATTCTTCAAAGGTTTTGTTTGTTTGTTTTGTTTTAATAAACTTTTAGTAAAGTCTAAGAATTAAATTTGTAAAAAGCAGTCTTAAAGTGTCACTAATCCAAAGGTCCCAGGCTACCTGTGAATTGCCCTCCAAAATGGTATGCCTACTGCCAAGAGCGATCTATTCTATATTAAGAACAGGATTACTTGTGGCACCTTAGAGACTAACAAATTTATTAGAGCATAAGCTTTCGTGGACTACAGCCCACTTCTTCGGATGCATAGTGGACTGTAGTCCACGAAAGCTTATGCTCTAATAAATTTGTTAGTCTCTAAGGTGCCACAAGTACTCCTGTTCTTTTTGCGGATACAGACTAACACGGCTGCTACTCTGAAACCTATTCTATATTGGAATTTAGCTTAATCACAGTTTGTTTTCAAACTTCCTCCTCTTCCAGTGTTTTGTATGTCATGTTACAGTTGATATAGAGTTTTGGATGGTATGATGACTAGAAGGCTACAGGGAAGATTTTAAAAAATGAGTTTAATATTGTGGGGGGATTTTGATTTTTGTGGAGTAATATATAGATAGATAGGTATAGATATGAGCATTGAGATGGTCACTCATGCACTCCCGGGTGGTGTTACTGTCACTTTGAAAGGATATTGACTGGCACAATCAGCAAAAAAGTAGTTCAGCAAAGTTGGAGTAAGTGGCCTTTGTATAGTTGTATCAAAAGTGGAAGAATTATGTTTATTTTTATTTGTATTAAGAACTCAAAGGTTGAGGCTTTATTATATATGTACCATGCAAACACATAGAAAGCCATGATCCCTGCCCCAAGAAGCTTACAGTCTAAAAAGATATAAACAGGTAACGAGTTGGGAATTGGATACTATTTATAAATAGGATGATGATGAGTACAAGACTTACTAATTCCAATTTCTTTCTTTCTATATATAAATTATCATTGGCTAGTCTAATATTCCTTTTTGTTTTTGCCTATTTTCTATTTTTAATATATTTTATTAATTGCTTTTACATAGTTTATTTATTTAAATATACTGCCTTTTCCTGTTTTCTTGTTTCTGTTTCTTTTGTTCCTTTAATAACTGTTTTTCATTGTAGAAGTAGGAAAATAACAACCGAACATTTACAGATGCCATTTAGAAGTGCAGCCCATCAGGAAATGTAGTTAAGGTTTCACCAGCAATTCAATGGCCCAAACACCCATTGAAGTTTCATGTCTGGAGAGTGATTTCAAGAAAAGGGAGAGGTCATTCATTTTGGTGAAGAGGCAGTATGTTTTAAATGTCACTTACCATCCCATGAAGAGTCCCTAATACTCTCTACAGTCATCCCATCTATATTGCATTCTGGGTATTATGAATTGGTGTGAAAGGAACATAAGAGATGCAGTTTACCAAAACTTCAGTTCTATTCATTGTAAGATTAAATTGAGATATGATCTTCTCTCTGGAATACAAGTCTTTTTCTCATTGAAGTCAATATCCTTATCTACATTTGACCTTTTGGCCAACATTTCTTGCCATTGTTGTCACTGGTCCAGCTTCACCAGTGATAGTGTAGCAGAAGTGCTAATGTGGATAAGATGCTAACAGTGTTTCTAAAAACCATTTCATTTAGACCTGCTTTGGACAGACTTGGACAACATAGTTCTTAAAAGGCCAGTGGCCACTTGTAGCTCTGACAACACTAAGACCTGGTTTACACTTAAAAGTTCAGTTGACATAGCTATGACACTTAGGGGTATGAAAAATTTGCGATAGAGCCACCAACCTAACCTAGACATGGCTAGGTTGATAGAAGTATGCTTCTGCCTACCTTATCTACTGCCACTCGGGATTACCTACAGCAACTGGGGAACTCCCGTCTGTCACTGTAGGAAATGTCTACACTACAATGCTACAGAAGCATAACTATGGTTTTATAGCTGTGCCATTGTAGTGGCCATAGTGTAGAGATGACTTTACACTCCCATTAGTAGAATGTAAGCAGTGGTAGGACAGTGGTAAACTTTGACCAAAAAAGCCATAGTGTAGACACTGCTATTGAAGCTGCAGATGGAAAATCAGGGGCAGTATTTGTGGTGTTTCTTAAAAAAAATTCAAAGGCTGCATTTGACATTTTTTGTCATCTATTTTCATATGGCAAATATTAGGCTAAAACAATGTATTATATTGTAATGCTGGACACTGCCAAATAAGGGTTTGGTATTTTTTATTAGATTTAGTATGCCAATGAGCTCTTGTTTATTTTATATTAGCAGTTATGAAAGAGAAACTATAAAATAGGCCTTTGACATCCTGGCATTGTAAAATTCTATGTAAGGGAAAATATTTTATTTGCCTCATACTGGTTTTATGTAAATAATTGTTTACATATTTAAACAATGTAATACATTGTAACTGCAGTATTCAACAGGCTTATAAAGTTGTCTGGCAAGTCTCCACCGGTGGTGATTCATTTGTTCCAACATGTTATGGCACCACAGGGAAGTACACAGATTATAGAAGACTTCAGAAAACCGGGAGGGGAGCTGAAGAGGACAGTCCAAGTGATCTTCTCAGAGCTCTTTCCAGTCCCATGAGCAAGAAGGCAGAAAACACAGGAGGCTGCACAACTGGTGTGAAGCTAAAGGTGTTGGGTTTTGTGAAACATTCCAGTGGAAGAGGGGGCTGCCTGCAGCTCTCAGGTAGAGGAGCTAATCTTCTCTGTTAGGAGCAGCCAGGAGGGCATTAAACTACAACGGAAGGGGAAAGTGCTAAGGACAAAAACGTGGTTCAAACTTTTAGCATGTCATGAATAAGGCTAAGATTTTGTCACAGATATTTTTAGTAAAAGTTGCAAAGTGGTCGTGGATGATAAAGAAAAATTAACGGAAGCCATGACCTCTGTGACTTTTACTAAAACTATGTGTGAGAAAATGGAGATTAGCAGGTCCCCACACCACCTGCAGCAGGACAGCTGCATAGCGAGAGAGCTGTGGGGCCCTCACCACTTGCAAAAGCTGGGGGCTCCAGGATACCCTTGCCGCCTGCAGCTCCGGGGGTCTCCCGCCGCCCACAGGTGCTGAGAGCTGTGGGGTTCCCCCACTGCCCATAGGTCCGGGAGATGTGGGGGTTCCCTGTCACCCGCAGTGGCCAGGGGCTGCAGAGGTTCCCTGCTGCCTGTGGCAGTCAGGAGCTGCCAGAGGCAGGGGGGTTTCCCCACAGCTCCTGGGCCCCACGGGATTCCATGACTTCCGTGACATCCATGACTAAATTGTAGCTTTAGTCATGAACTGATGTGGCAAAGAATGCAAAAAGAAGAAATGTTTCAGTTGCTTACACACCAATGCTAGGAGTCCAGGTAACAAGCAAGTGGAATTTAATTTTTTATTCCATTTATTTATTTAGAATAAATTAGCTACAACTGGCATTACTGAAATTTGGTGTGAAAATGTGCACGTTTGGAATGTTAAAATCGTTGATTGTGGTCTGTTCAGGAAGAACAGAATGAGTTAAAGAGGTGCACATGGGAAGTGACACTCTACAGTAACAACACCATTACCTATTTTAGAGATATGAGTAACTCAGAACCAAAGGATTTTTAATGCAGCTGGATCAATGATCTAACAAAACCCAGAAGAATGTATTTTTAACAGATCACAAAATCAAACTAGGAAACAGAGTGAGTTGTACCTTAAGCACCTGTCTAACATGAGGAAAGAAAAATTATGCTGTTATAGGATATTTAGATTGGGAAGACATATGCTGGAGGCTCCATGCAATCAGTAGAAAAACATCATTAGAGTGTCTAAAAACTATAGCTGATTTTTCTAAAATAACAAGAGGTAACTC